GTAAACTATCACTCAATTCACAATAAAAAGTTAAAAAACAAAACAAAAAAAGTAAGGTCTTCAAACAACAGCCATTTTATTACCTTACAATTTTATGGATGAGCAGTTTGGCCTGAGACTATCTGGGTTTCTTGCTGACTTTATCTGAGGTCATTCATATCACTGTGATCATCTGGTGGTTTGTCTAGATGATCTAAAATGGCTTCATTCATATGTTAGGTGATCGGTGCTAACTAACATTGGCTTGTTAATCCAAGGAGCCTTGGAAGTAGTGCTTGTCTCTGAAGCCTATTACCCTCCAAACTAGAATTAGTTTCTACCCATGGCAACTTCAGGGCAGTATTCCAAGTCAGTGAGAGCAGAAGCTACAAGCGCTTTTGAGGCAAACCAAAAAAAGATATGATTCATACTTTTCTTCAGTTTAGGGCAATTTTCTTTATCTAGTTCCAATATCTGCATATACTTTCTTGACTTTTCTTTCCAAGAATTGGATATATAATGTTTTGACCATTTGCAACTCAGTCCTTCAAAGTATCAGTTACCCATCAAAATATATAAATGTGCAAAGACAACAAAAGACCAAAGCTTGCATTTTAAAATAAAATACTGGCTCTACCATTTACTAGTTGATGACATTGATGAAGGTTTTAAATATCTTTGTACCTCAGTTCCCTCATCTGTAAAGTAGGAATGATAATAATAATAAAGCTACATACCTCATCAGGTTATTACGAAGGTTACAGCCATGTGCTGCATGACATCCATATAGGCAATGTCCAACTGCATATATGTCCATGGTCCCATTAGGTTATAACTGAGTTCAGAAATCCTAAGCAAAGGCTAGATGTAGCAAACAGGGAACATGGCAGCAAACATAGGGAACATTGCATACAACATATGTATCTCATTTCTCTTGTATGTGAAGTGATTGCATTGTAGGACTACAATGGTCCAGTACATCTATAATCTATAATGCATGTCTTGATAATCATAATAAATGCCTATGTTATTGGTTTATGTTTGTGTGCTGTACTGTACCACCTATTTGAAAAGTTTACCACATAAATTTATGCTTTGGCTCATGGACAGCAGCATCCAATCTAGTGTATCACTTACTTATATCTTGAGTATTGTATCATTATCCATTTAACTTTCTTTAGAAAATATTATGGTGAATTGCACAGTGGCTCCTAAACAAAGCAAACCCAATGCTAGTGAGAGCAGCAGCAAGAGACAAAGGAGAACTATCAATTTAGAAGTAAAATAAAAAGTTATTAACAGCACAAAGGTAGAAAATCAGTGAGTGCTATTGCTTGCAATTTAGGCATGCTTGCACATCATCCAAATCACATAATGTTCAATTTCATAGAACTTACCATGAAAGTTAAAAGATGTACAATAACTATAAATAAATTGCTGTTATGTGCCATCAAGTCGGTTCCAACTCATCACAACCCTGTATTGGGTTTCATAGGCTGTCAGTTTTTTGGGGATCAGAAAGTCTCATTTTTCTCCCATGGAGTAACTGATGGGCTCAAATTCCTACTTTATGGTTGGAAGTCCAGTGTGTATGCTACAGAGCCACTGTAAATTAATTAGCATAGGTAAAAGACTTAGATGAGTACCTTGCATATAATAAGCACTAGATGTATGTTTTATTTCCCTGAATGCTTCAATTGATTTGCAATCAACTACTAACCTAAACTTTTGTATGAGAAAGATGAGACTTTTTGTTCCCATAAAGATTAACAGCTAAAGCAAATGGAAGAATTGAAGAGGTCCAAGAGCTGAACAGAAAATTTCAAAGATCAGCTCAAGAAGATAAAAC